GGTATCAGATTGATCTAATTTCTGTGCACTGAGGACAAGCAAGTCCTAGGTTACAAACTGAACTCTCCAATGCAAGAACAAGATGCATTTCTTCCTTTCGGAGGTGCTATTGTCACGAGAAAAGAAAAAGGTTTCAGTTTTGTTTTTGCATGTGGGCGGGTATTCTGTTTGTAATAACTGTTTGGATACACTATATTTTTAATATGCTAGTTGTGATAAATTCATGCCAAGTAAAAATGTCCATAGTCATATTTTATGTTCCTAAAGTAACAGAATGACTTTCAATCTAGAAAAGACAAAAGAAGTGCTAATGTAGCATTTTTTTCAATTTTTCTGAAAATTTCCATTTCCCCCCAAAAAAACTGGGGGAAAAACGGGTTTTTTTCCGAGCTTCAAAATTTCCGGAAATTTTACATCTCTAACACATCTCACCAGTGACATGAATGAGACGGCAAGGGAAAGTGTGATAAGCACAGAGACAATGGGCAGACCCTGGGAGACGGAGGCCCGTTTACTCTCCTTCCTTTCCTAGCTGCCCCAGGATTACAGCCAAATGGGCCACCAGCAGGAGTGGCTGGCAGAAGCTACAGTCGCTGCCGTGAAGAGAAGGCAGCAGAGAGATCTTCTGTCTTGAAGATTTTCACAAGCAACCTTTCATTCCCTGGAGCCGGCTGCAGTTCGGTTCACGTGGAGACTCAGTTCTCTGTTCACGTGGAGACCCTGTTCAAAAGAAGTGCCTTAACGCCCCATCGGCACAGGCAAATGAGCACGGGGGCACGCACGTGTATTTCCTTCCTCAGGTGCTCCATTCTAACTTTAGCGTATTCAGAGCTTAATGTGGCAGAGGGATGAGCAGCCATTGCAAAGTTAATGGCATTCCTAGTTCAAAAGCTCTCCTGGGACAGCGAAACCCCCAGAAGCATCGGTCGGTCCACTGGAGAAGCCTGTGCCCAAACAATTCAAAGAATCATCTATGAATTAATGACCTCCAAAACGTCCTGTTGGTAAAAGCCCGGCTGAGGCCTCGGAGGGCCGTCGGTTCCTCGGTTGAGTCAATCCATCTCACGCTGGGTCTTCCTCTTTTTGTGCTGCCTTCAGCTTTTCCTGGCGTGACTGTCTTTTTCCAGTGGGTCTCGTCTTCTCACCATGTGAGCAAAGTACGATTGCCTCAGTTTAGTCATTTTAGCTCCTGGGGTTCAGGCTTGACTTGATCTAGAACCTGCTTATGTGTCTTTTCGGCAGTCCGAATAAATCAGTTTTCTTCCTGTTACCTTTCTTGACTGTCTAGCTTTCGCAGGCATACAGAGTCATCAGGAAGACCATAGCATGAATTATCTTGATCTTAGGGAAAGGTTTCTCTTGCTTGAAAGCCAGTCGAATCCGACTCTAGGGGGTGGTCTCATCTCCGTTTCCAAGCCGAAGAGCCAGCACTGTCCGAAGACGTTTCCGTGGTCATGTGGCCAGCATGACTGAACGCCGAGATGCACAGAATGCTGTTACCTTCCCACCGAAGCGGTACCTATTTATCGACTTGCAATTTCTTGCTTTCGATCTGCTAGATTGGCAGGAGCTGGAACTAGAGACGGGAGCTCACTCCGTCATGCGGCCCACACTCGGGCCTCGAACTGCTGAACTACCGACCTTCCACAGCCTGCAGTTCAGCGTCTTAACCACTTGAGCCATCGCAAAGAGAATGACTTGAGGCTAAAGTGCTTCCCTACCTTATTGTGCAGTGAAATGATGTAATATGTTTCTACCTGGAGGTTTTGTGGGGAGAAAGGACGGCGATAGGTCTTTTTGTCACTGCTAGTGCTGGCCTCTGGCAAGCAACAAGGTGGCTACTGCTTGGTGCAAGATGTGTACATTGCAAATATGTTGCAGCTCCTTTGCTTTCAAAATCTGGACGCTGAGATGCACAGAATGCTGTTACCTTCCCACCGAAGCAGTACCTATTTATCTACTTGCAGTTTCTTGGGTTCGAACTGCCATGTTGGCTGGAGCTGGAGCCAGAGACGGGAGCTCACTCCATCACGCGGCACTTG